TCATCCACATTAGTAAATTAAATATTGTTATTCAATCCCTTTAAATAAATAACATTTTGGTTGTTTTCTTGTTTTTGGAGAATAAAAGAAAAGAAATTGTTATCTATAGCTTATATACTTTGGTAATTTGGTATATTTTTTATATTTTGTTATTTTTGGTTTGCATTTTTGTTATCCTTTTAACTCACAGCAACTCATGAAGCATAATCCCGACATTAAATCTGAGACAAATGGATCGTCTTTGATTGAGAAAAAAGATAAGAAGATTAAAAAATCACAATCTACTGATTCAACTTCACTGAAAGAAACTCGTAAAGATCGTAAACTAAGCCGTAAACGAGTATGTTTAATTTAATTAAAAAGACCATAAGTATTGTGATATAAAGTGAAATAATTTTTTTATTTTAGCATGAACGACGTGATGAAACTACACCTGAATTAAAGAGACGCAAAGAAGACGAGAAACGTATGTTAATATTAAAATTTTGAATTTATTATTTTATTTTAGTATTATGTTTTCTCTTTCTAACTAATATGTGACAGAGTCAATTTATGTTCAACAGAACCAATTTTATGTTGTTAGCTTTAATATTAGAGTGCTATTATCAAACTTAAAAAAAATAATATTATGTAGGGCACATTTTAAGTTTTCAGTGATATTTTAATATTAAAATTGTAATATTTTTTAAGGTTATAACTTAAAGTGGTGCGTCAATTATCCGCAATAGTTTTGACTGAGGGGTACAGGTAATTAATGATTAAAAATATAAAATAATTTTGAATTAAAATTTTTTTATGCAATTAGAAATAAAACTAATGTACTGTATGTATGTAATATAAGTATAATATGATAAAATAAATATGTATGTTTTATTAAAATGATAAATAATTTAAATTTAAAACTTAAAATAAAAAATGTAAGTACATTTTTTTTCTCAAAAATTTTGTAGTGTGAATAATAATTGGTTGACCGGATAATTGACGCTTTACTGCACTTATAACTACTAATAGACTTTGAGGTTTTTAAGATAATATTTTTAGTTTTAACTTTTATCATAAGACTCATTCACTTTAAAGGTAATAACACAAATTTGGTTCTACTGAATGTGCATTTCCTATGTTGAGTATGTGTTCAAAAAAAAAAATAAAAAAATATGTTTCTGACATATTATTAATTATAAATTTGTTTTACTAATAGATGTGAAATCATCAGCTGATATTCGTCATGATGATGTGGTGGGTGATAAACATCGATCTAGTAGAGTTAGTATTTTAAATCTTTACTAAATCAATTATAATTAAAAAAAAATATATATTATTAACATGATTTTTTAATCTATTTACAGGAAAAATCTCCTCATCCGAAAGAATGGTCTGAACGAACTGAATCACGCCATAAAAGATATCCTTTTTAATTTTTTATAATCTATTTATAAAATAATCTTTAAGTAACATGACAGTTAAATGGACATTGTTGGTGGATACAAAAATAATTAGTTAAAGTAAAAACCTTTGTCTGAATAGGCAGTTATTACTTTATCAGTTTATAAAAGTGTAAGTATGAGAATGTGTTAATATTCATAATATTTTATTATTATTATGATTGTTGGCCACTTGAGATTATGTTCTTTATGTAAATACTAAGAGCAAACAAAAAAAAATCATTTGTTATCTACTTGTTCAATAATTGAAGTTTATTATTATGGTATTATAGTTTTTAATTTATTTTAATTTCAAATTTTTTCTTAACATTATCATTATACGCACAGGACAGGTGATAAAAGGAAGTAATCGTTTCTTTTCATCGGCTTAAACATAATTATGAATATTGTCGTATAAAATTGTGAATATTTATTGTATTTTAATATTATTTCCATTGTATTTTATCATTTTTATAAATATTTTTTTTTTTTTTTTTTTTTTTTTTTTTTTATTAAAAATTTTTTTTCAATTTTTATTTTTTTTAAAATTGTGTACACTCAATTATTTTAATTTTTATCAATGTAAGTCTTTTAACAGATATTGATATTTGAAATCAGTTATTACAGTTAAAAAAGTGAAAAAATTAAAGTTACTAAAAATCTTATAATAAATTTTAATATAATGTTTAAATTTAAAGAAAATGCATAATACATGTAGCCTGCCAGATTTGGAAGCTGTATTTTATGAGATTATGTTATACTTCTCATAATATTAATATATCTTCTGCTATTACGATCATCACCATGGTTCTAAAGGATTCATAGGTGGTGGACTCAGATTTAAAAGTTGAAACTAAACTACTTGAGATGTGTCACTGACCACTTTGTTAATTGTCACTTTTAGATTGAAGTTCAATTTATTGTATGCCTTTTGTCTATACGTAATATGTGAGCATATTATATCATGTATATATTTTTTTGGAGGTTTTTTTAGGAGAAAATTCTAATTCTAAAACTATTTTTTGCCAGTATTCCTTAATAGATTTTATACCAAACTAGTGTAATATCTTTATATATATTTATATAGATATATATACAAATGAAATGGATTAATGAAATTAGTGGTCTTGGGCTAATTTATTTTTGGGGGCCCTGATTTTACAAAAAAAGTATTTTTATAATAATATATCAATTTTTATTAATTAGTTAAATAAGAAAAATAATTTTTCTCAGACAAAAAATTTACATTACATAGTTGTTATAATAATTTATTAAAAAATAAAATGTAATTAGGTAAGTGTTAAAATATAAAATATATGGTAATAACATAAAAATACAAACAAATGATTATTTAAAATATTTTTTTGTAAATTTACTAGATGCAAAGGTATCTAAAATGTCACAAAATGAGAGACTTTTAAATATGTCATTTTCAATTGACATAATTGTTGTTAATGTGTTCAATTTATCTTCAATCTGTGTTGATCTTAGTCGATTTTTAATTAGAGCCGACTTTAAAAATGAACGTTCTGCTTCACAATTTGTCAACGGTAGGTATTGTCAGGTATAACCACTATAACCTCAATGCAATATAAACATTTGGAAAAACATCAATAAGCTTTCGTTCATAAAGAAGTTTTGTTATAGCACCACAATCGTAAATATTTGAAGAAACTATTTTAATATAGCCTATAGGTAATAATAAAAATTATATATTTCTGTTTTCAAGTTATCATCGAAATCGTTATGGTAAAACTGAATACAGTTATTAAATGAATCAATGTCCGATTCATTGTCAATTTTAAAGTTAACTAAAAATTTGAAATGAGAAAGATGAAGATTATAAGAATTTAATCTTCTGTCAAGTTCAAAAATCAATTTATCTATAATAACAAGGAAAGTATTGACTTCAAACTTTTTTTTCCTACACAAAATAGTTTGATTTTCACATCACATGCATTGTTTGCTTTTACCAACGTTTTTATAGTTTCCTATAATATTTGTACTTACAGTTTGAGTAAAATTATCTAGTGTTAAAATACTTTTCATAGTTATTTCTCTCGTGCAATATAAATTGTCGAAAAGAACAAATTAGGTCACAACCAGACAACCCAGGTTTCTGTATCTTTTCACTAACTTTATTAAATTATTCTAAAATAGTTTGCTACAAGACACACATAAAATCCATATCAAATTTAAAACAATTTTCATTATTGATTTTGCTTCACTATTTATATCAAATTTTTCTTCAATATTATTATTTATATGTTTTAAATGCTCTCACAGATTCAAAATGACAACACCACCTAGTTTAACTCAAACTTTTAAGACTAAATAGTTTTTGATTAACATTTGGACTCAAATTCTTAGTTAAAACGATCCATCTTCGAGGTGAAAACGAAAAATATCATATAGTTTTTGCAAGTATGAAAAACAACTTATTGCTTTTTGATGTGATTCAATAGCACTAACACAAATTAAATTAACCGAATGATCTGTACTAGGAACAAATGTGCAAATGTATTTTTTTTTAATATGAACTTGTAACCCTTCATATTTTATGGACATATTTTCGGCGTTATCAAATGACTGTCTACGGTAATTTTCTAAAGTTAAATTATGTTAAATTAAAAAATTTTTAATTGTATATCTATGATTATAGTAAAGCTGCAAGCCCGTAACATTTTTTTGGGAGGACGTTGGGTTATAGCCCGTTTAGCCCCTCTTAATCCAGCTCTGTGTACATATATATATATACCTACAGTGGATTCCACTTAATGTGACCACCGGTTAACATGGGCATCCGCTTATTGTGGGCAAACATGTCTGGTCCCAATACAAATGTATATTAACAATGTTAAATAAAACCGCGTAATATGGACGTTCGATTCGGTTTATGTGGGCAATTTTTTTTTATCATAGCGTTAGAATATACACATAACTACATAAGTATTTAAAAACGACTAATTTAATCGGGTTTCGTCGTATCTATGAGATTGTGTTTATCGAAAGTAATAAAAAATCATTACCATTCAAACAAACAAATTTCGCCAAAGAGAGACGAAAAAGTGCATTGATTTCTTGCAGAAGTTCTTCGTGCAAGAGGGAAACGAAAATAGTCCGTCTGATAAACTTGAAGCGTGTGCCCATTTTGTCAACCAGATCCATACTCAACAGCTTAGACAACGAAAAATGACAACGTTTTGTATACCTTCTACATCCAAAGATTAATTTTATTTAACATATTATATGTATTTAGTTTTATTTATATACCTAGTAATTATTTAAAATTGTTTTCAATTATATGATAATGCAAATATATTTTTTTATTATAATTTTTTTTTTTATTACTAATTTCAGTTTTTATGGGCAACCGCTTAATGTGGGCAAACAGGGCTGGTTCCAACGTGTCCACATTAAGCGGAATCCATTGTATATATATTATATACCCACGTACCAAGTCAAGTGTAGGCGTATGATGTTATACACCAAATATCTTGATGGCCTTGACAATTTGAACGAGATTTAACTGCGCATATTGTAGTTTTCTGTACTCCCTCCACGACCAAATTTCTACTCGAAAGTGTAGCGTAGATAAAAAGCACACACAATTACGGATAGATGCTTTATAAAGTCTACTCGTGGACGGTAAACTCGGAATTATATTTGACGAGTATTATATTACACAAGCAGTTCTCGCGCGGAGTCGATTCCGAGTAAAATAAATTGAATCATAGCGATATTATCACACGTAAATATTAAAAGAGTATTGAAATTTAAGTTTAGTATTAGTCGCTATGATTTCGTGTTTAATCAGAATTTTGTTCGACATACCCGTTATTACTGCAATCGCCGTCCTCGCGGCGTTTGCTTACTATTATTCGACCAACACGTACCGCAAGTGGATAGAGTTGAACGTACCCCACGACCGACCGTGGCCGCTAGTGGGCAACACAGTGAAGATGATCACTTTGATCGAACACCACTTCACTACTTTTGACAGAATTTATAAACGGTTTTCCGGCGAAAAATACTGCGGTTTCTATCAAATGAAGACGCCGTTTTTGATGATCAGAGATCCAGAATTGATCAATAATATATTGATTAAGGATTTCTCGTACTTCCCAGACCGAGGTTTCCACAAGGACACGGAATTTAATTTAATTGCCAATGGGTTATTCTTCATGGAGGGGCCTAAGTGGAAAGTGATGAGACAGAAACTGAGCCCGGGTTTCACGTCAGGCAAGCTGAAGCTCACCCACAACCAGATAGCAGCGTGCAGTGATGAGCTGATACAATTTATTAAAGCTAAAATGAAAGAAAACGATCAGATCGAAGTCAAGGAGACCATGGGCAAGTACGCAACAGATGTCACTGGTACGTGCGCTTTTGGGTTGAAATTGGACTCTATCAAGAACGAAGATTCCGATTTCCGGTTGTACGCCCAGAAAATACTGAAAATGAATTTCCGGACTTTGTTGGCCGAAACGGTGTCACCGAAAATATTAAAAATGTTGAGGATCGCCGAGTTTTCACCCGAAGCTACTGCATTTTTTAATTCAGCATTTAACGAGGTCATCAAGTACAGGGAGGAAAACGGTATAATCAGAAATGACGTCGCACAGACCTTAATAGAAGCGAGAAAAGAGTTGGTTCTTGGCTCAACCGATAAAGGTAAAGTTAATCACTTCTGAGTTCTGTTGATCTGATAGATTTTCTGTATTACACGAAAATCATAATAGATTATCAATATATTTTAGTACCTAGAATTTCATTAAATACTGAAATCCGGTTAATTATATTTTGTATCTATATTAATATTACCCAGATCTAAAATATCTAATGAATAATATTATTTTTGTGATTTATCGAATCACTGTGATTAAATATTATCTACTAGATGAAATTACGTGTGTCTCTAATTTTAATATATTAGAATAGAGTTTTGATCAATATTATTTTAGATGGATTTACTGAACAGCACATTATTGCGAATGCGATCCAGATGTTTTTTGGTGGTTTTGAACCCGTGTCTTCAGTGTTGAGTTTCTGTTTGTATGAATTAGCGCTGAACCAATACGTCCAGGACAAATTGCGTGACGAAATTATTTCAATATCGAAACAACATGGACAAATAAATAATGATTTTTTGGTGGATCTCCATTACACCGATATGGTTTTAGCAGGTAAATAATATCAGAATATTACTTGATAAATCATTTTATGCTCAAGCAAATTATTCATGTAGATTATTCATGTAGATATCTTACTATATATGTTTATTTCTCAAATGATTGGATTTAATTTATTTTTATATTACGAACTTAATAAATATTATAAGTTGTAGGCAATTTTCGTATTTATTTTTTGTTTCAAGTATAGGTATTTAAAAAAAAAAATTACAATATTGCAAACCTACATGTCGTAAATTTATTTTATAATGTGACCTGACATAAGTATTCTAGGATTACTAGGTACCTATTAAAATAATAATTTTATAAAAAAAATTGATATTAATAAGCTTTCATGTAATAAGAATGATAAATTGTTTATCTAATTAAAACAAAACATGAATATTAACAGTCTTTATTCGTAATGAATAACATTCCGCCAAAAACATCGTGATGAAATTTGCAAAACTCTATCAATTATTGTTTAATGAAAAATAATTAGCTTTCAATAAGCAACCAACACTAACTAGCACTCCCAAATGCTTTCTTTTTTCAAGAAAAATTTTGTTATAATGCTATCAATTAAAAAAAAACATTTCTCAAATCATCTCAAATTCTTCGATAAGTTGCAACTTCCATGTAAAAAACTTTGCAGAAATAACAGCAAAGTCTGTACAGCCAAAAAAAAAATTAAGTCTCAGTAATTAATTCGAATAATTCAGTTAACGGAATTAAAAAAAATATAATACCATCATTATACTCAATAAAATTACCGACGCTACATAACCTGTGCGTTACGTACCTATATCTAACAATAGATAAAAAAAAAGTATATGCTAGATAGCCAACGAAATTATTAATAACCACTCGGTATATACATTTATAATTAGAAATATTGATGGGAAAATTAATTAATCCACCAATACATATAAATTGTTACACATTATTAAGTGTCTATTCCAATACTTAAAATAATACCATCATAGATACCTAGGCTCATAAACCTCTGCGTAAAAATAACATACCTAATCAATAAACTTAAGCTTAAGTCCGGTTTACTCCGAGGGCGTCATTTGAGAAGAGGATCAGAGTGTTCGGCTGCACCCTTTACTTTTAAAATAGTACTAATTGGTTTGCGCCCTGCTGAGATAATGTTCAAAATTAAATCTTCTTAAATGGTTTTTAAGGCGAGTGTGGACTACAAGTGGTGTGTATCATTTTGGTTTATAGATTTTTACGAACTGAACCGGCCTTCATTATAGGTTTCTAAAGAGCTGTGCAAATAAAATTTGTAAGACGTAATTGTACTCAATATCTTCAGACTATAAAATTCTCATTGCTTTAATGAGAACCTTACAAATAGTATTATGATTTGTTTTTTTTTTCAATAGTAGAAATGATTAATGAATGATCAACTTACTCCGACTTAAGAATTCCAATAACAACATTTGCCACACATCGTCCTTATACATCATACGTTTTATCAACGGACACCCAAATTTGATTTTCTCCAATTTTAGTTCTCGTTTTACCATTATATAAAAATGTAAAGGTAATGTAGGTTCTAATGGGTATAATATATAAAAATAATATATAATACATTATAATAAATATCAATATACAAAAACTGTTACCGTTTATTGTGCGTTTTAGAAACGGAACGTATGTACTCAGCAACAAACGCACTGTTTAGAGAAGCTGTGAAGACATATCATGTACCTGGCGACTCGTTGGTAATCGAAAAAGGAACCAAGATCATGATTCCTTTTAACAGTATTCACCGTGATCCAAAGTATTACCCCGATCCGTTAACCTTTGACCCGCAAAGGTTTTCACCGGAAGAAAAAGCAAAACGACAATCCGGTACTTACCTACCGTTTGGCGATGGACCGCGATTTTGCATAGGTATATATTTTATTATTAAGACTCAAGAGTAGTGTTTAATAATGATTTTAAATTTGCTATGTATACCATATTATTTACAAATATTTATATAAAAATCGTTTAATAGGAAAACGATTTGCTGAACTGGAAATGAAAATGGCTCTATCACAAATATTGACAACGTTTCGAGTTTTGCCGTGTGAAAAAACAGAAGTTCCGCTTAAGCTACAAAATGGAACACCTATGATGGTAGCAAAAAACGGCATTTGGTTACGTTTTCAATCCATTTCTTAATGAGTACTTAGCCCTAAGTCTTTAATGACTATATAATTTATATGATTTATAAGATAATAATAATTATTGCAATATGTACTGCTGCCTATACTTTAAAGAGTAGGTATGTCATTTTACAAGTTTACTAACCTATAATGAGTTTGTTTGGAATTGTAATAATACAAACGGCCAAATTGGGATACTTCTTATATCTTATTATTCATAACTACGTAAAAAAAAAATCTCAATTGTTAATCCACTATCGAAAAATTTAAGTACTTTAAGTACTTATGTATGTATAATACCTGTAAGCAATTATTATAATAGTTCGAACACTTGTAGGAAGTTGCCTCCGCTTCTCTCCAAACCTTAGCTAATCATTTTCAAAATTATTATCAATTCCTTCGTATACACTTTAAGAGATTATAAAAATACTTTTAGAAACGGATTTTTTGATATTGAACAATCGATAAATAGAATTTTTATTGGTGCTTACCAAACTTCAAATATTACCACATACCTACCACTGGTATCTGTGTGAATAGTAACTCACGCGATGTTCTACATAAACAGATTTGCAAATATAGATATTAGATACCAAAAACAGTTCATTATGATTTATTTTATACACTCTCTATATGAATCATTTTTGAATATTAATCATAACAGTTAGATAAATAGATAGGTAGGTACCATATATGTCTTAACATGCACATTGTGTGTACCTACCTATAAATTATATTATATTTATATAGCAATATAGTAGGTATTCATTATACATAAAGATAACACAAATAGGTTTACTTAAAATGTAATACACATATGCATATCGCATTATTACCTATTTATTACATTCCAAAATCCATTTTATAGAATAATTTGTCAAATAATAAGATTACATTTACGGTGAAACAAACTTTTATTTACGCTAGGAGCAGCCAAATTTTTTTCAGCCTCGATCTTAGTCTACGTGAACGATAAACATTTAATATACGAAACCAAAATAAAAGATAAAAATATTCAGATAAAATTTATGGACAATTATGTTGTTAACTATACCACTATGATTTATTTTTATGTGCGTAGCCTAAAAATAAATTCTAACACGATCGAACGTTTGGCCGCCCCTGATTTACACAATAAATTACACAAAAATAGTTCATACTGAAACCATAAAATCTAAAAAATAAAGTATAAAGGCGTTTCTTCTGTATGAACAATTTAAATTCTAATTTGGACAAAATTACTTATTTAAACGATAAATAACGATATTCATTATTTTGTTACAATTAAAAAACATTCGCAGAAACTTAAACTTTGATGTACCTATCTCATCACATTATCATGAATTTTACTTTGGGTTCGCAATAATATTTTTGATTTATTTTAAAATATTATTTATTTATAGGTTCTATAAATTTATTTTTACCGTTTTACGGTATTTAGAGAAATATGTTATAAAATGTTGTGTTACCTATACAACTTGATATAATATAAAGTAGTTTAATATACAATTATAAATTATAATACATTATTATAATAATTCAATAATATTATAAATGCAACATTTTCAGAAAAATTAGTAGGTACAATACTAAAAGTAAAATAACCAGTGTTGGGATTAGATAACTTAAATATTATCTAGATAAAGATAGTAGATAAAAATTACTAAAGTAGGTATCTAGATAATAGATAATAGATAAATGGAATTTATCTAGATAAAAAAAATAGATAATTATATTTTTGTATTTTTTATATCATGCAAAAACTATGCAGGCATGCAGAGGATTAACCAGAAACTTCCCAAGATAAGGGGAACCACTAGATTAAATACCAATTATCAGTAGCGTATCTACGAGGGGAGGGAATATGGGGTCATACTCACCCAACTCACGGAGACTAAATTTTGTAAGCAATAGGTATAACCCTTGGTATAACGTATTGTAATAATAATATAAATATTTCTGCTTACTAAATATGTCCATTAAAATCTTTATATCTCTCCCACTTATTACAGATGTTCCAGTCAAAAACCGCTTCATACTTAAATATTTTAAATATCACTAGTCAACACCCGAAATAAAGATAGGTAGGAATCTAGATAACAACAATAAGAGCACTAGAGAATGACAAATAACAATAATAATATACAGTGGAACCTCGATAACTCGAATCGGTTGGAGGCGAAAAAAAAATTCGAGTTATTGAAAATTTGACTTATAGAAGTTCGAGTTATCGAGGTTCCACAGTAATATAGCTGCAGTTGTACAATCAATGTTTACGGGCCGTGTATCGTGTAGGACTGCAGGCCTGTCGTTAGGGGGGGGGAGGAAAGGTAGGATTCCTCCCGGGCCCGAACGTTTTAAAGGGCCTGAAAAAAGATAACTAATAATATTATGTAATGTATGAATACATATAAAAGATGTAAAACTATTTAAAAAGCAATTTAATTAAAAAAACTAATATTGTTTACAAATTTGTGCTTTTACTTTGTTACTTGAAATAGAAAAAGTATAAATATTTGAAATTTATTTGGTCTTGTGAGAGGTTGCGGGAAGGAGGGTGACCGTGGCTCCTGAAACCACCACTAATAAGGGCCCGTAAGCATTTTCCTCCCGGACCTGAACTTTTCTCTCTACGGCTCTGTGTAGGAGACAGACCCGTCGTATGTTCTCATGGATAATTCCAAGGGATATTGGAACATAATATTATATGCAGTAATAAATGCATAACTATAATTAAAAGGTATTGAAAGAAATACGCTATTATTATTATAAGTAATTAGTATTTTATTTATATCATATAAAATGTTGTGTTTTCCATTATCGAACAGAAAATATAACTAATAAGAAATGACCTGCAGGTACTATGTACATATTAATAAATGGAATTAACACAACAGCCAACAATTATTGGCTACTGAGTACAGACTATCAAAGATATATTTTATAGGTACGTTATGAATTGTGGCTGCTTTAAATTTGTACTATCATAATAATATGCTATTATATCTATTAAATTATTTTTCTACAAGAGTAATGGTTTTGCTGTTCATACAGTCATAAAATATGGAACTATAGAAGTTACGATGAGTATTTTATTTTAATTTGATAACAATTAATATCTACCTAACTAATAAAAATATCTCGTTAAATGTAAACTCATTTCGTGAAAATAGATTTTTTACTGCTTAAACATATGATGGTATATAATGTGTTATGTAAAATGTGTTGAATAAATCAATATTGTTATTAATTAAAAAATATTTTGAAATGTACCATTTATAGTTTATACGACTCACAAGTATATAATATTTTCTTATTTGGCCACAGAATAGACGAAATTTCATCTATTCCGTGATTTGGCTACGGGCACCCAATATTGAAAAATATTAAAGGGCTCCAGCCATGGTAGTCAAATAGGCAAAATTATAACTGACTATTGTGTATGCATTAATTATCTGTCTCAGAAATCATACAGTAGCTCTTTATTTTCAATCTATCAAATTGAAAAAAAGACAATGTCAATTTATAATAAATTCATTTTGGTCTATATTAACTATTGAATAGCTAATGAGTTGTAGGTACCTATACATATTGACTACCTACATCATTTTTGAATTTTCATACAGTTCAGATAATTTTTTTGTATTATTTTATGTGTTGTTATTTAATAGATTTTGATAAATTTTCTATTATTTAGTTATTTAGTGTTTTAACAGTGTATAGTACATTTTTGATTAATATAAATTAATATAGGAAAAAAATAAAAACACATTAATGTTCTCAATAACAAATTGTATATATTAGATATAAATATACTTTTTTATCACAGTATCAATTTACAGTATTGAAGTGTAGTAAATAATACTTCAAATATAAATGTATAATATTAATTTTATATACAATGTCTTACAATCATGAATATATTTTAATGTATATTGACATATAGTTTATAGATATATAATGTATTACATATACATAAAAATGTAATTATTTCTTATAAATACCAAAGTATCTAACATTATTAAGGTACAAGCAATATATTTTGTCTTTGGTACTTAAATACAAAAATAAACATAAGGAAAATAAGAACATCTAAGTTGGTTTTACTTAAGTTTAGCCAATAATAAAATAGTTGTGCTAATACAAAAAAGTTGTTCTTTAAGAATACTTTGTCAAATTAGTTGAGTTATACTTAATGTCTTATTGAGTAAAAATAATGTATAATAAATAATGTAACAATAATATGTCTTACAATATTAGACATTATGCATATTTGACTTATCGTTCAACCATTCAAAGTATTGGTACACATTTATAGTAAAGTGATGTGGTATTGCACTTACTATTAGTGTTAAGTAAAATGTAAATCACATAGTACACTTATAATATACTTTATATTACAATATAAAGATCATCACATAAGATCTCACAATATTCAATTGAAATATTTTTTTTTTTTTTTAAAGGAAAAAATATAATAGTTGTTTAACAAAAAAATTATTTAGAAAGCTAAGTGGCAGTCTATATTGATGGACCAAATACTAAAACACTGAATATCACTAGAAAAATGTAGTATGAAGTATTTTTGTTCACTGAAAAATGAATATTAATGTTTATAAATGTTACACTTTGATTTAACAGAAATAATTTAGAATCAAAATAAAGTTGTCTGTCAGATGCTCAGTCAATTGTACAAGGTATAAAAGATTTTCAAAAATATACCATGCTGTGCGTAAGTTTAGAAACTAAAATGATTTTAAATACTGTTTTAGCTGATAACAATAAATACACATATATAGTATACATTAGTAGTACAATACACAAATCTGAATATTATATAAATTGACTTATATTAAAAATTTTGAGTTTTATAGTAAGGCATTGATGATAATAAGGCATTATTATTTTTTTCTAATTTGGTTAAATCTGTGAAGTTATGATGTAATATTCAAAATACATACATAGAAACTATAGTTTCCAATAATCAATTTGAAATATATGAAATATTCAGTCTTGTATGTCTACAATATTTAGTTTTTTTTTTAGGTTAAAATATGTATACTTGTTGTAGGAGATACTTCAAATGATAAATGGTTATTTATTTTTAATACAAAATCATAAAAAAAATAAAAAAAAATACTATATATATTATAACAAAATTGTGTAACAAAAAAAATACTAGTATAATATTGATGATAGTTTTTACTATTAATAGATCAAACCAAGTGTAGGTCACAATGTTTTTTTTTTTTATTAACATCTTGAGAAAATAATAAAACATTGTGTTACACTAAACCATAAACAATAATATAAATAAATCAAAATGTTAGCATTTTCTAAATGTTTTTTTTCTTTAAAGTAGTCGAATAGTTGAATTAAGAATAAAACAATTTTGTTTTGAAAATTATAAAATCACTGGTACAATCGAACATGGTTGGCGTACTTAACTTAAAATGTCTTACTTATTTCTCTCCAAATAAAATTAATAAAAAAAAAAATAATAATAATAATAATAATAATAATGATAAATTTGTTCAGATAGAAGTGTTAAATAAAAGTATAAAATCCACCTTATAAACTACATGAGATAGATGAAGAAATTATTTAACTTCATAAAATATTGATCGGTTACTATTTGCTTGGGAACAATGACTCGTATGAAGGTGGTAGATCTTTGTCGGCTGTTCTTACTTCAGTACCACTAGCTGCCATAAAATCAGGTGGAGCTGTAGCTATAATTGCCATTGTCTCTAAGCGTGGAACTGGCTGCATTTCAGAAGAATGTGGATGGCTATTAGGATTTCCCATACAACATAATGCAGTTCCGCAGTGTCTGAATATCCATAGGAACGCAATAAAAACTAAAATCATGGTAACCAGGCAGGCAACCGTTGCAGACACAACTTTGGTCGCTAAAGTTGATGTGCTCATATAGTTATTGTTTAGTACTGAGACTATTGGACGACAACCACTTTCATCTTTACAGCTTTTGTATGGACAGTTAAGTTTTCCATCATTAAAAAAGTCTTTGAAAATACAAGTTTTTCTTCCACAACTTCTCCAGTGACCATTGTCATATTTGCATTCTACAATAAAATAAGGCAATTTAATATAATGTTTTCAAAAATAAAAATACAGGAATTTTTAAAATTTCTATACCTACTTAGCAAAGCATTAAATTAAAAATATCATACCTTGAAATGCTGTAAATACAATCTCAAACTTTAATTCTTCATTGGAATCTATAGATCTATTGCCAAGAAATATTTTAACTTCAATCATACCCTTATGATCAATGAATGAATTTTTGATTTCTCTATCATCATTACCGTCACTACCTTGATAAGATTCATTATCAACATTGGCTTCAAATGCATTCAATTTTCCACAAATTTTCTCACTCCAGGGATCTGACGACTTAATTTTAAAGTTTAAGTCTAGAACACTTACAGTTTTTTCAGCATGACGAAACTATAAAAATCAAAGTTATTAAAAAAGGATTTAATATAAGTATAAACAACAAAAGAAAATACATACTTGAACATAGTCAATACATTGTCCTTGAGCATTACGTCTAAAAGACAAATGCTGTATAACAGCAAAAACACCTAATCCAAGAGAGGAAGTGACTGTAAATTTACAGTTGAATTCATGCTTGCCAGTCCACTTTTGAAAATATTGGTTATCTTTGATCACCATAGCTGATTGATCTTCTCGACCAGACAAGTTTAAATTATTTGAAAGGAAACTCATCGAACAAACACTATCGTTTTCCAAGATTTCTACAAACAAGACAAAAGTAGTTTAATTATTTTTTTTTGTTAAACAAATACATAAATTAAGGTCTTAAAAAAAATCTGGATGAAAGCATTTTTTTAAATTGTGAATAATCATGTCTCCAGAATTTATACTTAATTATTTTAAGTCTGACAAGAATTTCTAACTAAGAGTAGTTTCTATTTATGATTTGTATGAACATTAATTAACTTATGACATATACCTATTTTAAATTTAATTATTGACATTTTATTAACAATTATTGAAACCTCACTGATAACTGATTAGTTTTAAAATGTACAATACATAAAGTTTATAATGAAACAATTCTATTTTTTAAATTAATAATAGGCACTTTAAATTAAGTACTTAGTGAATTCAAATATATAAAAACCATAATTGTATTAAAGTTTTTTCATAAGCAGATTTTAAGCATTGATATCTAATTGATAAAAAGAACAAACTAACAAAATGTACTTTCCTAATATATGAGACTACTTCTGTTATTGTGACTATTTCAATCTTAATGTTTATGTGTTCCATTCCAACATTCAAATTTAAAATTATGTATCTTTCAAGGTATCTTTATATGATAAGTTTTTTCTGTACATTACATTAATTTACCAGTCTCACTCTAATTGATTTTGATTTAATAATCACACTTAAAAATTCAATATCCGATTATTTTACTTTATAGGTAGTTTTTATTTACTAAATACTATTGTTCTTAACCTAACATTGGAGAAAAAATAGTACATTGAATTTTATATTAAAAAATTATTCAAGGATAATAATTAGTGGTTTATTCAGGGGAGGGATTTGGGGCTTGAGTTCTCTCTCAAAGAATATTTTTTATGTTAAATTATATTATATTATTATTTTGTCATAACTAAATTACAATAATAAATGATGATTGATAAAAAAAATAGTGGTTATTATTTAGATACTTATGTGAATGATAGTAAGGAAATGAGTAAGCTTCTCTACTCCTCGAATAAAAATTCTGAGGGAATCACTAGAAATAATTAGGTCCAGGTCGATAGGAGGTCTATCACATGATTGATGAAAATAATATGAAGTATAAAATATACAATATAGTAGGTACCTATTCATTATACATAACAATAACACAAACACATTTTTCATATAGGTTCATTAAAAAATAAAAAATTAGTGATTATGTTATGTTTTGAATTGAAATAATTTTGTTCATCATATTAAGTTTTAATAAGTTTATTTAAAATGTAATAAGATAAAAATAATTTGATCAGATCAGTAAATTATTTTCATGAGAAGAGAAATGACAAAAAAAAAAATTGAAAAATGTGTTCAATATGTAGGTTGGTTATTTATAAATTCATGTAAATAATTTTTTTACATTAAAAACTAGTTTTTGAAGGGTAAAAATTACATTGATTTGTAATTTTTTATTTATTAAAATAAAAATATTTTAGTTAAATATCTAAATAAAATATAAACAGCATTCAGAATAGACTTAATAGGTCTTTAATAAATCATGATTTGTTATGACTTTAATATTATTGACTATTAGTAATTGTTTTTCAAAATTCATTCTTTAATAGAGCTATAACTGTAAATGTAAAAATAATACTCAACTCTAATGCCTATCAGTAATAAAACTATAATTCCTCGGTGAGTCATCAGCAACACGTAAAATAATAAGTATACAATGAATAATAAAAGAATAAATATTTAATAACTTGTTATTGTATGATACTTATATATCTCTATAATTAAACATGGTATGTCCCAACAATCTTACAAGTATTGTAGAAATTTCAACAATATATATTTACATAATTACATTAACATTATATAAAAAAAGATGAGCAACGATAGATCAATTTGGTCATCAGACGATAAAAATTCGAGTGGACTAAGACAAGAATCAATTATTCTTAGACCAACGACATTTAAATACCGTGAGTATAGCGACTTTTAAAAATGTTTTCTTAGACAGTTTTAACTTACTTTCGATGTACGCCATGGTGCGGCCTAAGCACAACACGACCAGCAATCCGTGTGTTAACGACGACATAATATTGTTTGTGCTTCGGTATTTTTGAGAGGAGGAGCCTTAGAACCGAAACCACGGCAAATAAAACGTGTGAACCGCACAAGATCAATCGCGTAATGGAACCGTAGTCATTTTGCGACTTCCGAATAGTTCTATCGTTTTTCGGCACTACTACTGTTGTCGTACTCTAATATAATATTATTATTACAGACATTTACGAAACACCACAGACGACACCGCCGAGCAATACAGGAACACCGACGACTAAAACAGCACTAACTACTAACAGTACTAACTCGTAACTCGACCGGTAAGAGTCTTCAACGTTCAGTGCTGGCTGCAAAACTGCATTATGATCAATGTTGTTATTCAGTATTTAATGACAATTGCACGTTTGCACATAATATTATTATTATTGTTGTAGTAATTTAGTATGAGGGACACAAACGCACGCGCACACTACAGACACACAATCACACCCACATACACACACGTACACGAATACACACACACACACAGCCACGATCACACGGTGCGCACATATGCAACACTCACGATTATCTAATCACGGGAATCGAGCGTCGTCGATTGGGCGGGGGGCGGATACTATCAGACCATCTGATCCACGGGAGTAATATTACGTTATTATTACTCTTTGATCCAACCTGACCAGACGAGACGCAGCTGACGCACGGTGTTCCACACGAATACCAAGATATTATTATCGTAACATTCGTAACGTTATTCTTCTGCGAGACCGTGCCCCAACGATCGGGCGGTGACGATCGTCGTGGCGGTGGCCGCACTGTCGAAACGGACAAAGCGTCCCGACTGACGGCGGCGATAATACCGGGCGCAACGTAACTTGTTGAACTCTCAAAATTGTGAACCGAACGACGACGCAGTCCCTAAAATATTCAAATTTTCGTACTACACACGTGTCACAGATAGTGCCAAATAGGTAAAATCTAAATTAATGCTCTATAAACTAGTACCAATGCTTATGGTATTCTTTAATATAAATTAAATAACAATATGTATAAATATATTATTTAATGACTGTGAAAATTAAATTATTATTAATTAATTGATATATTAATTTACTCTAATATATCATTAATATATTATTATTAAATATTATATTTTACCCTTTTAGTAATAAAGCAATGGCTTTATAATTAAGGAAGGAACTTCAAAAAAAAAAAAAAAATTTAATAAAATAACTATATTTGAATAAAATAAGGTAGTAAGTAGTAACCTAACTTAGCGTTCAATTTTATTAAAAATTTATCCATTGTGGAAATACGTAGCAATAAAACTATTACTATAAAATAACAACTAAACTCCGTAAGAAACTAGAAAGAGCTAGTAACTATTTTTGTTTTTATATATACCACAGAATATATTCCGTGTATATACTGCACATTTACTACAACTAATAAATAATAATAAATATAACTTATTCCCAATAACAATAAATAATAATAACTATAATAAGAGTATAAGACGTAACAACACAACATATTGCTTACGGTGTATCTGTGTAGAATGTAGATAATAATTAAAATGTGGTTTGGAAAAAAACCATTAAAATATTTTTTTTAAATGACATAATATTATTATAAATGTTTAATTAGAATAACACACTTTTAAATTTCGTACTACACAAAGTGTGTCGTACTACGCACAATTTTAGGGACTGCGACGGCGTGAACACGAAATACGAATAATTCGTTACCTATTTCGTTATGATTTCAGACTTGTACGTAACAGTCGTTTGCGTGGCGCTTTAACGCGCCATACGCCTACACGCGTTATGCACCGAATACGCGACACGGTCAACGCCAATTGCCGCATTACCTATCGTTAAATCATTGTTATTTATTGATATTAACTAACAGCATTTAGCGGGTACCGCGACGCGGTACGTCGTACGTGGGCGCACGATTTTACGGTCACAGACACTCGTGTGTGTGTGTGTGTCGTAATAACGCGATTTCGAGGGTCTATACCCGGCAATCGCGAAACGTCCGAACGACGAAAAGACTTTACGACGGATTGAACGGACCAGCGGACATGTGGTCGGAGACGATTTCGATGTAGTTAAAGAGTTGACAAAAAATAAAAATAACATTGTTTATCGCTAAATCGGACGTACTCGCGTCCAGCACAGCGCACGCCCTATCGCCATAACCACCGCCGTGGCACGCGTTTTTAATTTTTTATGTGGTTATCTCCGGTTCTCGATACTTCCGACCGCGCCACAGCCCGTAGAGATAGTCGTTATTATTTTACGTCCTAAAACGACATCAGTACTTACACAATATTATGTTAAAAATATTTATTGATAATATTTCAAACTTCCAGGTGAATACATTGGTCATTAATCATTGTTTTTGAGATCCAATTATTATTATTAATTTTAAAAACGTGTACTATTTTTTCTTTGTATTTTGAACATTTCTACCTTGGTTTATTTTTTTTTTACAACATTTCGGAATTAATAAAAATAACAACTCCTTTGTACTTTCATTCCATTACGCCAATTAATTGTTCGCAACATGGTTTATATGTATTATATACATCAACATAGTGCTATATGTAAGAAACTACGAACTCTGTAGAGCTGCACGAGAAAACTTTTGAGAGTATCACGTACTCACATAGTTATTAATTATTATGAATGTAATGGTCCGAATGGTCCGATTTTTACATTTTCTTTTACTTATCATTATATTTTCTATCTCGAAGTTTCTACCGTGAACATAATCTAAAATCTGTATGTTTTATTATTGGTTATAATTTGTATAGTACCTTGTGTACAATGCTTGTTTTTGAAATTTCCTTTGTACGTTACTGGGTTAATTGCATTTTTTATTTATGCTTAACATACACATCATTATCATGTCTGATGTGTCCATGTATAATATTATTCTTTGACAATAATCTTTGCTGACTTTAAAAAAAATCGTTAGTATAAGTTGTATATTATGTGTATATATATACCACATATCGTTTATATTTACAGTAATTTTACATATTTTAATACTTAACATTTTACAAAATGAAAAAATCTGTCAGTACACTAAGCACTACACATATTACAACATACACACTATACTTATAAATACACATGTTTTAAAAAGATCATTGGAATATCCTACCAGATGTTCTACTAAACAGAGATTAAGTATATAATATATGTACTTATACATTTCTATGTTTTTTTTTCATTATTAATGCATATAAATTATAGTGAACTATAGAAATTTCTATTTATCTTATTGTAGATTTAAAAACAGGAAAATTAAGATTATTCATTTTTGAGCGAAAAGAACATCCAATTAAATGATATAACATAAAGATTAGAGAGACTCAGATTCTATTTAAAAATACATACCTATAATATGGAGATGAGATAACTAGATACGTTGTTTATGTTCGTATATTTTTTAATTTATCAGAAAAAGTTTAATTCTTAGTCCAGTTTTATTATTTATTTATTCTGTACCTATATATTATAATAAAAAAAGTAGATAATTAACTTATCAAATTGGATAAATTGGATTAAAAGTATTATTTTGTTGAATTATCATTTTATTTTAAGGTACATGCGAAATTAATTTGATCATATTTTCAAGTGTGCATCTTCACAAAACAATATTTCTAATTCAAAGACATTCTGGAAAAGATTTGATACACGATGGTGTAGTATCTTCGATAATCTTGCCTCCCTCTAAAATAAGTACTCGATCATAGTCTACAATTGTAGATAATCTATGCTAAATTATAAGAAAACATAATGATACGTTAATATATCGTTACTATAGCTTAATAAATGAGTAAAATATAAATATTGTAATTACAGCAATTGTAATGACTGTTCGGCCATTGAATGATATTTTTATCGCTTCTAATAATTTGTTTTCGGTTTCATCGTCCACAGAACTGGTTGGTTCGTCCATTATTAGACAAACATTGTCTTGTAAAATAGCTCTTGCCAAACATAATAATTGTTTTTGTCCATTGCTTAAATTATCACCTGAATTATTCACTACACCTTCTATTAAAAAAAAAAAAATAATACGTAAATAATTAATATATAGGTGCATATGTAAGTAAGTACGATTCACATTTATAATTTTTTTTGTTTAAGAATTTTACTAAATTTTAAATTACTTATTAAAAATTTGAATTTACAAACTATTTTTTTTTCATAATTTTAAATACAGATATGTTATTGGACTGGGTACTAATTTTTTCTGACTGATTTTGTGTTACAATTCCTAGATTTATCCTTCATATACATAATAATTATAATATTATATAATTATTATGTTACTATAGCAACCTCGTTAATCATTTTTCTTTTAATCATATAATTTTTAAGTATATTATATTATATTTGTAATCAAGACTTTAAATTCTGAACGCTAGAATACCTATCAAAAACATAAATATATTATAGACGAACGTTAAAAAAAATTATATCAAAAGAATAAAGCGGAGAAAATATCAAGTAGTTTTTTCACGGGTGTCATTCAGTCGATAATTATTTCATTAAATTGGGACATTTTTTATTTCTTATGTTTAATATCGCAACTATAAAAAAGCTACAAAATTACATAATAGCGCGGCAGTTGTATTATGATTGATCTAATTTATAAATATTATAGTAGGTATTCATATTTTTTATAATTAATGGTAGGTATTAGCTTGTCATTGATTGGTCTATGGGATATACGGCGGTATCCATAGCATTTTATGGATACAAATTATGGGTAACTTGATAAAACCTGAATGTGTATTTTAATTTTTAATTGTATTTTTAAAGCCTGTTTTAATAATAACATGATAGTTTTAATAGATTATTTAAATTATATTTTTTTTTGTATTTATTTACACCGATATACCACATGTCCAGAATTAAAATTATTATAAGTATCTAGCTATTCAGTATATTGATTGGTTAAGTATTCATTTGTATAGTTTACCAAGTCCTCCTAATTGTAATTTGACTGTATCTTCCATTTGAGCCATTCTTAAACTGCTCCAAATCTCATTATCTGAGTATTCGTTTTTTAAATCTAAATTTTGCCTTATCGTTCCACCAAACATTTTAACATCCTGCGGTATTACAGATATCCGGGATCTCAAGCTCTGCAAAGGAACGTTATTGATATCAACCCCATCAATCATTATTGCTCCATCTCTAATTGGAACCATATTCAAAATGCTCATCACTAAAGATGATTTACCACTGCCAGTTCGACCACAAATTCCAACCTTGAATTTTAAAATAATTAAAATACTAAAATAGTGTTTTCAATAAGGTTTTACTTTTTGTCCAGGTGGAATATTTAAGCTCACGTTACTAATAACTGGATCTAGATTTTCATTATATTTTACCGAAACCTTATCTAAAACTATGTACCCTTTAGACGGCCAAGCTCTTGTAATTATAGCTGTAAAAATT